CTTTTAAGATTCTTCATATTAGGACCTCATCAAAAATTCGTTGAGAATGAGGAGGTTAATTTGACAGGTCTGCTCATCTACTTTTAACATCTTAAATATAACTAATGCAATGAAATACTGAATGCTTTAAATGACAAGTAATTCTTATTTTTTGTCCAACATTTGCTTCTCCAGGAAATTTACACGTCTGTACATAGCGGTGGCTAATGGTAGATCTAAACAGTTGTGTATGCACGTATTTGTCTTCTAGTGGCAAGTCAGATTTCTGTCTTTGGAACTCAAGCAAATAATTTCAAAGAGCTGCTTAGCTTATGAAGAGAGCCTAGTAAAGTTGGTGAAAAACAGAATTGTGTATTTACATGTACTTTTTTTACTTTTTGACCTTTATTGTGCCTTGTTCCCCTTCTTACCTCTCCTAATCACAATAAAGGTACGAAAAAGTGAAGAAAACAGCAATACTTAAAAATTGAATCATTGCTAAGGGCCTCAAGTGATGCTGTGCATTTTTGAAAGTTAACCACTATCACCATGGGTCTGACTTCCATTGCTTCAGTTAGGACCCTTGTAGTCACTGGAGGAGGGCAAACTCATAGAGTATCAGTGCAGAAGTACCTGGGTTGAGCCTTCTCCTCCAAACAGCCATCTGGATGAGGAGCCCTGTTCTTGATTGACTGGGGAGAGCTGGCTTTTAACCGAGGCCTTGAGGTTAGCTGCTTGAAGTAGGTGATGTGAATACCTACCTCCGTTTTGCTGTTGTCTTAAATGGTTCCTGGACAGACAAAGGTCTGTGAACATAGGCTAAAGATGTAATATCTGGTTAAAGTGAAAAGATACCTGAATTTCATCCTCCTTCTTCCCTGCGTTCCCTTCTGCCTGATGTCTTAAGATCTGCGCAAAGCTTCTGGACTCTCTTCATGTGTGTCTGCTAAAAGATTGAGAATGAAGGACCAGATTGATTACCAGTACAGCTCCTTCTGAAGCCTGGCTTCTGTCAGGAACCAGCATGGTACCTTATCAACCATTTTTTAAGATGTCACGCTCTCTTTTGAGGAGAGTGAATAAAAGGCCGGGGTTGTACAGTTATGCTTGCAAGCAGACATCACAGAGAACCTCTGTGGCATTCAGTCTGCACACTGGTTTCTTCCCATTTGAGAGCGTACTCCAGGGCTAGGAGTGATGTTCTGCCGGTTCAGGCGGGTATGAAGTGAACTTCTGTCGTGAAGTCTTTCAGCCACATAAATATCCAAACAGGTTTCAGCTCCCCTTTTTTTCAGAAATGCTCAGAACTGCCTGCTGGCTTGGATGATGGATTAGGCTGGAAAGGGGATCAGACACTGGAAAATAAAAGCCAGGGCCCACTGGCTCCTTCTCTGATGTCAGGTTTTGCATGTTACATAGTGGGTATTGCTAAGATCTCTAGCCCTGGTCTCGATGCCAGGCGGGCTATGTTACTGTGTTCTTTACTCTGGAGGCTAAATTTGCTAAACCTGTAATTCAGGGTATGGTGTAGGCACAAAGCATTGTAATTCTTTATTTTCCACTCTAGGGCTGGGAGACACTACTATTGGATAGTTACCTTTATTTTCTTGATGGAATTGAACTGGTGGAAACTTAGTTGAATCTTAATCATAGTAGTCAGTTGTTTTGCCTTAAATGTGCAAGAGACTTTTAAACAGTAGGGTCATTCTTCTAAGACCTTGGATTTAGGAGTTCCCTGTTGAAAAGTTACGGCAGTTTACTCAACCTGAACATTTGTGTACTAATCTGGAATTAATTGTTTGGGTTTGCCAAACATCCTTTCTTTCCTCATCCACCTTACTTCCCTCAGTACCCTGGTAAAAGGAAAGGAAAACAAAATGAAGCCCGGTTTTGTAAAGCTTTGGACAGGGTTTTTTCCCAGCTTTTTCTTCTTTTTTAAACTACTTTTGATTGTATTGTCTCAGTGTGATTTAGGGCCAGAGTTGTTGGAAGTCAGTTTAAACATTGTCTTGTGGCCTGTTTGACTTGGAATGAGACTGAGTAGTGTCTCTTAATAAAATTCATCATGAAACTTGCACGTTTAGGATTGAGGAATGGCAGATATGGCAAACTGAAGTAACTTTTGATTCTTCTGCACTACTTTGTGCAAACGTGGAATACATCTCAAAGAGGTGCTTAGGGTTATTGAAGTTGCAGCAACTTCTTGGACCATCCTTTCGGTACAACTCTGCATGAAATACCCACTGTGCCATAACACAGCCCTCTCTTCATGTCCTAAAGGTATAGCTTGTAAACTGTTCTGGAGAGAAATGGTTACGCGGAGAGTAGCCGTAGAGAACCTGGTGGAGGCACAAGGTGCAATATAGGGAATATTGCTGAGTGCCAGTAATGAGGTGACTCTGTTTGAAGTCCATTCTAGACACATCATTGCCAGAAAATGTCTAGGAAAAAAAAAGCTATTGGTATAAATGGTGCAGAAAAGCAGGAGAGACAAGCAGCTTCATTTTGCGTTTAGAACTTGACAGATCAAGTCTGATGTTACTGTGCACGTACTCATTAGATGACAGGGTCCTTTGATGCAGGGTAGGTGGGCTGTGTCTTTGTACCTTTGATGCTTAGCAAGTGCTTGTGAGGTTTAGAGAAAAAAATCCACAACAAATAAAGAAAAAAACCACCCAAAACTCACAAAAAGCAAACTAAGATACAGGAAGAAGTGAGTTTTTTGCATAAGTACAAATCGTAAGAGCAGCAGGGGTTCTGAGATACAAATAAAGTTTCATGACGGGGAGTATTGGATCAATGAAGGCAAGGGTGAAACTTGTGATGTCCTGAATTCCATGGTAGTTAATGTTTTGTGGCACAGAAGGTCTGTGTTCACAGCAGCAGTTTTGCATTGTGTATGTGTACTGTGTGGTCTCCTTGTGTGTGTAACGTTAGTGAACATTTTGTTTTTAATGGAACTGCCTTCTCTGTCTCAGTACTATTATTTACTGTGCTATGCTGTACATACATCAAGATATGCTGGTGTAGACATCTGTTTTACATGCATGTGTGTATATAACTGTACAGCTGGGACATTTTTTTTTTTTAAAGCTGTCTACTTCATGCTATTCCTGCTTTGCAAGGACCCATGTTACTCTGACCAGGCAAAGACAATTGGATGCAGCTCTATACAGAGATAAAGCTGCTCCGTTTGGTTGAAGGGAGTAATGGGCACGAAACACGTGGCAGTTCTCTCCCTTCGGTCAGCACCTCCCTCGGCGTGTGCTGGGCTGAGGTGTGCCACATTGGTGCAGAGACCCAAAATGTAGTGATCTGTTAGCAGCTGGTGCCAACCAGTGCCTAAAATGATGTTTAGCTCGGTGTTCAGTGTTGCTTCCTGGGCTAATAAGGCAGATCAGTAACCAATTAACTGACATAAACATGAGACAGCTTTTTACAGTTAGAGATTGACAGCACAAACAGGGAAGTGTCCTTGAGCTCCATACAGAGTTTGGATGTGCTTATTTTGTAGGTTGTTCCTTCCCTGGAAAATGCGGGGGAGTGGATGGGTATTAACCCTTAAAAGACTTCTTCACTCTCTGAGATGAAGAACTTAGAGCTCTCAAGGACAAGATTCTGTTCTCAAATCTGCAGTCATCTTTGTTCCATAAAATGTTGACCATACTGTACTAATATATTAGATGTTGACTGTCAGCTTAAGGAAACTTCTCTTCATTAAAGAATGTTTGTCATTGTTTGCTAAAATAGTTTAAATAGCTTACCACATGCTGCTAAACTACAGTCCCTACAAGCTCATTGTTCAGAATTCAAGACTGCAGCTGTTAGGGAAGTTAATATTTTTCAGTGAACTTGATTTCTTTCATTTTTGTGTGTGTGTATTTATGCTACGTATTTTATCATGAACCATAAAAGAAAAGCACTGTTACCACAAAGCAGCTGTTCAGCAAGAGCTAACTGATGTCACCTGACAGGCATGCACCCTGTAGTACCTAGTTATCAGTTCAGATTGTACTAGACTTAAGACATTCCTGGTTAATGAAATAAAGTTCATTACAATGAACTGGTAGGCAAGTGTACTTCATTTGTTAAAACTGATATCTTGGTTAAAATATGCAAGAACTTTAATGCCTTATCTGCTGTGTTTGAATTCTGAACAAATGCTTAGACAGCAATTTATTTACAAACCTTCTTCAAAAAAAATGCTTGTAATTTGTTGCAGCCTAATTAAATAATATTTATAGAATACATGCTTTATGCATGAATGGATGTGCATCTCTGAGCTGTAGATTTTTCTATTCAGAGCTACTTTTTTAGAATCTATATGTATTATCTTGATGTTATAAATTGTAGTGATTGTGGAAAATGTTTTGAAGGTGTTGGAATGTTTTGTTTTTTTATTGTCCAACCATTAAGTGCTTTTAAAATATTAAATACAAAGTATGTATTTCATTTGGTAGGAATTTGATAGGACTAAAAGGCTATATGTAAGTGTATGTATTTGTGTGTGCACTCATGCACACACACTTGTGTTGTTTATAGTGTTTTGGAGAAACACATCACTGTTTCATGTGATACCACTATTCTGCTCCTTACTGACAGAGTGATTAGAGTGGAATCATTTCTTGGATTTGTATCAGTGTGAGATCAGAATCTGTCCTTGAGGCTTAAATCACTGTTACTTAAACACATTTATTTCTTTCTGAGTCAGCTATGGTGAATTTGTGTAGCTTTTACTGACAGCTGAACAGTGCACTGTTTGTTGAATGGTGTAGCATCCCCATGGATGACACAGGAGTCACGTCAGCAGCAGGATAGGAATGTCAGACAATTTGTTGTTGTAAGGCTGTGGTTTCAAATGTAAAAAATGTCAGTAACTTGTGTGTGTGGAGGGAAGGGGGAAATGGAAAGTGATACACCTTGGTTGTGCAGGTGTATCATGCAATGAATGAAATAATAATCTTTAAAATGTCCCAGCAATATTTGTGAGTTGCTCATTTTGTAATTTATTTTTACAACAGGTTCCCGTAAAGAATCAGCTCCTCAAGTCCTGCTTCCAGAAGAAGAAAAAATTATTGTAGAAGAAACTAAAAGTAATGGTCAGACTGTTATAGAAGAGAAGTAAGAGAACATTTAATGAATGATGGATTAAAACAGTAAACTTTAGACTCCTCTTCTTCCTCCCAGCTCCCATTACAGTAATGCGTGTATGGTATATTTGTAGTAGGGAGCAGAGCTGTTTGGAGTATGCTGCCAGTCCTTTAAGTGTAGTTGGCCTTCATTTAAATGCTTGTAGTCTGGTTTCTTGGTATATGCTATACAACTTACTCCTTCTGTGCCAAGAAGTGATATGTTTCACTTGTGAATAGTTTCTCCAAGTGCTGTAGGATTTCAATATTAAATTGGTGTTATCTTTCTAGTTAGTGTGTGGCGTCATTCTATTTTTTTGGTAAGCTGTATGTTGGAAATGAGATACAGTTCTGTTACAGAAAGCTGTAATACAAAAACCAGTATGGGTCTGCATGCATTTTAGAGGTGTATCCTGTCACAGAAGCTGGTAATAGGTCTTTGCCTTACTAAATATAAATCAGGATAACAGACAATTTTTTTAAAAGAAGTTTGAAATTAGCTGTTAGCTGTGGGGATTTTTTAAATGCATTTCATTTAACAGTTTTGTCTAGTAACAGATACAAAAATGTATTTCTGAAAACTTGTAACAGATCATCTTCTTTTTCATTTTAGAAGCCTTGTTGACACAGTATATGCATTAAAGGATGAAGTACAGGAGTTAAGACAGGTTGGTAACTTGCTACATTTATAGCAGCCTGGAGAATAGAATGATGGAAAGCTTGTAAGTTGATGGACTTTGACAGGAATGAACTTGAATTTTGGACTAGATTTAAAAGCCTGAGATTCATTTTTAGAAGTAAAACATACCAATTTGACAAAACACACTCTCTTTTGTGCTTGCCATCTGTCCTTGGAGCACTAGCCTTTGAGAAGGGCATGAAGTGTCCCATCTTTGAGGTGACTTACTAAGCTCTGTTTCATTTATTTTTCAGATGTTACGACTTGTGAAATGTTGAGAGCATTGACCAAATTCAGTTCTGCTGTATCAGCAGCAAAATAAGCTTATAGAGAAGGTGAAATAGTACTTGCTCTTGGAATGTGTAATTTTAGTAATATAAATGTCTGGATCTATTTAGGCCCTTATTAACAGTCTTTCAGTAACCTGACAACCTCTTACGAATCAGTTCTTAAAACCTCTCATTTTGGGAGATGAGTCACAGAATCACAGAATGGTAGGGGTTGGAAGGGACCTCTGTGGGTCATCTAGTCCAACCCCCCTGCTGAATCAGGGTCACCTACAGCAGGCTGCACAGGACCTTGTCCAGGCGGGTCTTGAATATCTCCAGAGAAGGAGACTCCACAACCTCCCTGGGCAGCCTGTTACAGTGCTCCGTCACCCTCAGAGGGAAGAAGTTCTTCCTCATGTTCAGCTGGAACTTCCTGTGCTTCAGTTTGAGTCCTTTGCAGCGTCTGCTATGTGGCTTTTTTGAATGAGGGCTTCAGGTTAGCTTAGGGTGCTGCTTTGTCACATGGGGGAGTTGTGCAAGATCTTACCTTAGTTGCTGGCATGAAAGTTGCAGCTGGTGCTTAAAGCTTGTTTTAAGTATACAAAATGAGTTGTTTAAAAATACCTCTTTCTTCTCAGGACATAGCCTGTTTAAACCATGCTAAGGCTGCTGCGTGTAGTCATTGCGTGTTGATGAAAATGCATTGAATTGTCCTCACTTCCAGTGTGTGAATTTGCTAACTCGCCTTACAGATCTATGACTCAGGAAGTCAGATAATATCTCCTGTGTTAGTGTAAAATAGATTAATATTCAAATTACTGTAGGTTTTAGGTTATAAACATGAATTCAATTTCTTCGCTCGTCTGTAATCATGCCCAGTATTTCTAAGGATGTGGTGCGTATTCTTTGAAATAGGACAGTTGGCGTCTTAAATACTTAATTTTTGCCATTTGCAATATGTAAAGCGTGTGTATCCCAGATTTGATGTACATTTGACAGTCTTTTTAAAAATACAGTTTGCTTAATACAAGCAGCAATAATAACCCGCTAATATTCCTGTGGCCTGGCTGCTTTTGTACAAAGGATAAATGTGCTGCCTCACCGAGGCCCCACAGATCTCTGTGTGACCCTAAACAAAACGTCAACTGTTGCCTGAGCTTCAGGCAGCAGCTCTCTTTTCTGATGCCTTTCCACGTAGATGGTCTCTTCAGAATCTCACATCTGCCAAGGCCAAGACCTGTTAAAGCCTGAGTTCGTTTTCTTGTATAACAGCAGACTCAGCTTAGAAGCATTTATTGGTCTGCTGCTGTGATGTTGCCGACTGGAGAAGTAGCAGGAATAACCTCTGAGCTGGGAAGGTCCCAGGTGACCAAGGGCTTCATGGATAAAGGCTCTCTGGGAGTACATAGTGCCCTTGGCTGGGATAGACACCAGACTACTTGTTGGTGAAAGATACCACGCCAAGTGGGATCCCTCCCGTCGCAGCCTCCAGAGGTTATTCATAGCTGTTGCTCCACATGCACTATGCTTGAATATCACAGACCTGAAGTGGCAGTAAATAAATAAACAAAGAGAAATAAAGTTTCTACCTACAAGAAAAGAATGAAACTTCTGAGTTTCTCAACAGACTTGAGGAGGGAATGGAGTTAAGGAGGAGGCAGCTGTTGATCCATCCTGTTTCTAGAGATGCTTGTAAATAACAGCGACGGGAGTCCAATGGGACCCCTGGATTGCAGACCTGTGTGTGTTAAACACCCATAAACTTGTTGTCTTGGGGCCTTAATGTAATGTTGTCTTACCTTCTGGTTGCTTCCCCACTGTTGCCAGCATCACCTGTACAGGATTAAACAATGTAAGCATTGCTGTGGTTTGGTCAGTGACATACTTAGGCTCCTGTTGTCTTTCAGTATTACCTGCTGGCGCTAAATACTGCGAACGGACTGACCCGTTAATACACCTGCAGAATGGTGGTGTTCCTTGAAATTCACACTGCACTTAGACTCTTGGTAGTCTTCTGTCTGGTTTAAAGTTTAGTGACAGAACACTTTCAAGAGAACGTAATGGTTTTCAAGATACTCTTTCAACTGTTTACTTTCCTAATGAAGCAATTTAATTTGCATGAAGTTTTAAGAAGCTTTTCTGAGATTGTGAAACTAGTTATAATCACAAGAGGCTCTTAGAGGGGTTATTTATTCTACCTACTGCTGCATTTCCCTTCTCCATTAAGAACAAATATATTCTCCTCATTGATCAGTTTTGAGCAGAAAAATTCAACATTATTGGCCATCTGTTACTAGCGCTTGCATTATAAAGGACCCCTAAATACAAATAGGACATAGCTCAGTTTCCATTTGGTGGTTTTTGTTGCATTGTGTGAAGTAACTGTGTGTAACTTGTGAAATTTTAATAGAAGGCTTTGCTTTTGAACAGCCAATAGCAGTCTTACTGAGAAGAACCTTCAGAATTTGTAACTGACAATGTATGTGTAGTCAGAAGAGATGTATTAAAACAAACCAGTAATATTTCTGTCTCTATCAAACAGGATAATAAAAAGATGAAGAAATCATTAGAAGAAGAACAAAGAGCTCGCAAGGACTTGGAGAAACTTGTTAGAAAAGTTCTAAAGAACATGAATGATCCATCTTGGGATGAAACCAACTTATAACTAATTTGTTTTGATTTTTCCCTTTTTCTTTCTATTGAAAGACCAGTTGTAAAACTGAGCTGGGAAGCCTTCTGACATTAGTCAGTGTTGCATCAAGAGCACTACAAAACAGGATTTAACTGGATCTAGTGATTTCTTGCTATGAACATACAGAAACAGTCAAGCCATTTACTGAAGCAATCTGTACTTTTAAGCGTGGAGACCATGGATGCTGAACTCTACTAAACTTAATTTGTTTGCATCTAAATTACCTCATTTTGCAGAAAGTGCAGCACCTGACTAAAAGTCCATGTTTTTCAGTGGCTTTTTAATTAAATATGTATTTTTCTTGTAAATATCTGTAATTTTGAATGCATATGTGATTGATGTATCAGGGCTGATATATTTTTCTCTTGTTATTGTAACGGTCACAAGTGTTAGAAATGACGGCAGTACTGTCTTAGCTAAGAAAGGTCAGAGTTCTTTGTGGCTAATTACGGATGTGTTCCAAATTACCCACTCATCACACATGCAAATTTAAAAACCTATTTTTCCTATTGACCACTGTATTTAAATCCTTTACTGTTATTTATGTCTGTGCATACATTTTTAAACAGTTTACAATTCTTTAAGAACAGTATTAAAACACATAAAATTGTTTATTGACAGTAGAAACCATTTTTAACGAAATGAATGCCCATGGTTTATGTTCATGTACACTTGTTTGGTAGACTAATCTGTTGTGCTTTGGCCACCAAAAGACTGATGTACTTGCCTGCTTTTTATGACTGTGATTTTTAAGTGTTTATGTACTACATTTTCTATTGTTGTGCTTAAACAAACAGCTGGCTGATAATTTAATAGATCGTACAGTTTGTTAAAGCAAAAAAATCAATCTAACCCAGAATTTTGTGAATAAATTGTTGCTATTTATATTTTATGGTCACAACAATTAAATTTTAGCTAACCTTTGTGCATAAGACACACGGGCTAGGCCAAACTTCATTCAGAGCTTTGTTTTTATACCACTATGTAAGGCTCTGTTTGGAATTCCCAGACTGTGGAAGCAGAGTCGTTCCTTTCCCACCTTGTTTTCTCAGCGTGTTGCTGGTTTTTGTCCTCCTAGGATTTAAATGGAAACAAATCTGGACATAAGATTTTTTTTTTAATCATACTGTAACTCATAATTTGCACTGCTGGCAGATTTGAAAATACATAAATGAACATTTATTCCCTAGTCTGATAGATGCAGTTACTGCAGTCTTTTCTTGTTTTTAAAATAGGAGATGCTACATCACTGCAAACAATGAGCTTCAGTTGGAGCACTTAAAATACTGATCTCATTAAAGCTCATTGTGTTTCGTTGATTTCGGTGAACTTTGGATTAGACTCCAGACGGTGCAATGGGTTTTTCTTGAGCTGACAGTCAGAAGTGCAGGTGTAGCATGGACCCGAGTCGCACCTTTTGTCATCCAGATTTTCTAGTGCCCTTTAACTCCTGTTAGGATTTAATGCTTGGACTTGAGTGTATAGGAACTTAAATGTTGGAGCCAGGATGATTAGTGTGGTAAGAATTGTCATGCACATTTTGAATCCGGTGAAAAATCTGTTTTTAAAGCCGTCCACTTTTCTCAGCCAAGAACAACTTTTTTTAAATAGGAAAGCAAGTCAGTGATTACATACTTGAGAAACAGTTCTGTGGGAATGGATACTGAAGAATCTGAACAGACAATTAGTTGTCCAGTTTAAAAAGCTGAATACATTTGTAGGTATTTTAATTTGTGTTCCTGCAGTTTAAAAATGTCTCCTTTTAATTCCAAAGGAGGAGAGTGGATTAAAAAACTGAAAATGTCTACAGTGTCAGTGACGTGTATTCACAGAACTTTAAATTTGTGGTAATTCTTGATAGCAAAATCTTTTCCTGTTGTTTGCAGTTGCACAAAAAGGTGGACTGACATTTATGATTGTCTTCACATTTAGAGAATACTCTTGCTAAAAGCTGAGTGGTACTAAACCCTGCAAATTCATAGCATCTTGGCTAAATTTCGATTTGGGAAATGCCAATATAATTAGAATTTTGCTAACATTTTTGCTTTCTGACATTGAGGCTTTTTTCAGAGTGAATTTTAATTTCCAGCTGAGCATACGTGAAAGGACATTCCAGAGGAAGAAGTATAAAAGGAAAACATGAATCTTCTCAGTGTTTAGGAAATTTAACTCAGGAACAACTTCCATCATAACAATTTGTTTTGCATTATATTGTAAAGAGTGATGTTGCTATGTAAATTTGCTGACTCTTATACCTGTGATTATTATCATTTCTGACAGTACCCCTATACTGACATCTGATGAACATGCCTTAAATGCTGGGGTTAAGCAGTTGTTAAATATGACCAGGACTTAGGGACTGACTTTATTCAAGGTGGATTGGGATAAAAAAAAAAACACTGAATACTGTAAGTAGCTTTTGTCTCCAGTGCAGAGCGTGAGCTTCAGGCTTTTGGGAACCAAGGAGTATCTGAACTTTTTTCTTTGACAATTTGTTATACTGTATATAGATTGTAAATTTCACCATGGACCTTCTGAATTGTTGGAAACTTTATATAAGCATGGATAAATGGGGCACTGTTTATTTAACCTTTTAAAGGGTTATTTCTTTGCTCTCATCATTTAGGGATGAGGAGATGAAGCCATTTCTTATCCTATAGATGTGAAGCACTTTCAGTTCTGAACTGTCCAAAATGTAGCATAACATTTCTCTGTACTTACTGATGTTACGCGTGTTTGTCTCACCGTGTCATGACATCTTAAAGATTAAACAACTGACCACCTTTGTATAAACCTTCTTAATGCCAATCATTTAGGGAATTTAGAGTGTCTGTCTGCGGTATCTGTGGAGAACTCAAGTTTAGTTTAGACGTCACAATAATATCCTGGTATTGACTACTCAAGTTTTTATGCTATGTCGTTGTAATTAAACCATGATTTTTCCCCTACCCTATGAAGTGTTACATTTCATCTAATACGTGGGCTGAGATTAAGAAGGGAAAATGGCTTTAATTTTTTTTTGCTTTTCGTATAAATAGCCTCTTCTATTTACTAGTTGGTGTACTGTATTGAAAGGGCTTCTTCATGCTTTTTTGTAATAGCAGATGGATGCCTGGATAACAAAACAAAGCAAGGGTTGTTTAGGGGGGCAAAGTAGAGTCTTGACTGTCTTGCACTGAGGAATTTTCACTTCCTTTGGCAACCTGACCTGGTGGGGTAATGTAAGAGATTGGAGGAAATCAAAGACAGAAGATAATGAAAGGGAAGAAAGCAAGAAAACCTAGAAAATCAAATCACTGCATAAATAACATAAAATACTTGTCTGCATGCATGATTTATCTCAGTAGACCTGAAATTTGTGATAAGCATGTATCATAGGGATGTGATTTGGTGCTGCCTGAAACAGCAGGCAGGGGGATGATTTTTATGGTAGGAACATCATCAGTATTGATACAGGATGATGGGATGGGTGAAGGAAGGCGTAGGAAGTCATTTGTTTGAAAGATGTTTCAGTCTTTGGACAAGGCATTCGAAGGGATTTAATAACTGAGCTTAGGTGTGTGAAATAATACATCTATTCCAGCTTAGTTTAGCAAGGGGATGTACTGAACCGAAGACTTTAAGTGTAGCTTTTTATAACTTTTGTCAGAAGAAATCTCATCTTCTCCAACTTTTCTCTTGGTTTAGCACTGTAAAGGCGGTTATTTCCCACCATTTGAAATTGTCGTTTACTTTTCACCTTAAGTGTTTTGGGAATCCTGTTCTGGGTGTTTTTTTGTTGTGATGGGTTGACGTTGGCTGGCTGCCAGACCCCCACCCAGCTGCGCTCTGGGGGAGGGAATAGGATGGAAAAGCTTGTGGGTTGAGATGAGGCATGGACATGAGCTATCAATTACCATCATGGGCAAAACAGATGATGGGAAAACTAATTTCTTGCCATTTAAAAATAGAGTTTGATGAGGAGGAACAAAGAGAAAGACTAAGCCAACTTTCCCCTACCTCACTCCTCCTTCCCAGGTAGAATTTCACTCCAGTGTGGGTCCTCTCCGTGGCCCACAGTTCTTCAGGGATAAACGTGCCCCGATGTGGGTTCCCCCTGGGCTGCAGATCTCTTCAGGGCACGTGCTGCAGCGTGAGATTCTCCATGGCTGCAGGGTGGAGATGGACCTCTGTGGGCTGCAGGACAGCCTGCCTCACCATGGTCTTCTCCACGGGCTGCAGGGGAGCCTGCTCCAGCACCTGGAGCACCTCCTTCCCCTCCTCCTCTGACCTGGGTGTTCACAGGGATATTTCTCACGCTTTTCCTTGCTGCTGAACTCTTAAATACACTTTTCTCGAGGCACCACTATTTTGGCTGAGGGGCTCCGCTGCCTCCTGAACAGCTGCTGCTTGTCGAGTGGCATCTAATTTATGTTCTGTTGGAGCTACTACACCTAGTAAGTTCAGAAATTTGGGTGCAGAACCTGCTGTTACCCACTTGCAGTGGACAGCTTTGCTTGCAACGATAGGGCACGAGGTGGGGAAAGGAAGGAAGCACATAACAACTTGTTGATGGTGGAATAAAGAGGCCTGAAATCATCCTGGGAGGTGTGGGCAAGAGGTGCATGTGTCTGTGTGTACACTACGAGTACTACGGTGCTGATGTTGCAGGGTCCCAGAAATGCAGAGTTTGTACTTCGGAGAAATGCTGAGATGATTTTTGAGATTAATTTGCTCTGCGAGGCGTGCTTTGTAGTCTGGAAAAGGGCTGTAGGCTTGCCCTATTTCTTTGTGTGCTCTGCGCTTGAGCTTTCTCTTTACTTCACGTGAATCAAATGTCATCTTGGCAGCAAGGCTGAGCCTGAGTTTGGAACTAAATTACCCTCCTGAGCTTTTCATTAATTTGACTGGCTGCCCTCAGTTCACGACCGTGGCATTATTTACATGGTGCAGATCTTGGCAGTCCAAAATTTTGCTCAGGTGCTCCCACCAGTTCCTGAGCGTTCTCACTGATTTTGTTCCCTTCCTCTGCTGGGTGTGCGCAGGGTCTCCTTTATGCGTGGCAGAGGCTACTTCGGTGCTTTTACCCCGAGGACAGCCTTGGGTGGCCATGAGTCTGTCCGTCCCCCGTGTGCCTGGCTGTCCCCTGCACACCTGCAGGCATATCTGCTGACGTTCCAACATGGCGGTGCTCGCGAGCCTGGGCAGGTAAGGCCCCGTGCGCGCGCTGCCCTGTCTTCCTGACTCTCCTCTGCGTAAGCAGTGACTCTGACCCTGAGGGTGGGTTTGGGCTGAGTCTGAAAGGCGATGGAGACTGGTAGAGAGAGCGAACTTTCACCCACTGCCACGCACCAGTCCTAGGAACGCGGTGTGCCGTGTGCGACACCCAGGATATCACAGAACATCTCAAGTTGGAAGGGACCAGTCGAGGCGAACTCCCTGCTCCTCGCAGGACCACCTAAAGCTAAACCACAGAATTAAGAGCGTTGTCCGGATGCTCCTTGAAACTCCGACAGGCTTGGTGCCGTGACCACTGCGCTGGGGAGCCTGTTCCAGTGACCAGCTACCCTCTCACCGAAGAACCATTTCCAATCAGATGTTGTGTGTCGGCCTGGTGAGATTCCCAAA